CCAGCTCATTGCATCACCTCCCTTCTGGGATCTCTAAATAATAAATCTTGTGGCTTTACTTCCTTTGTGTGGGTGTAACTGAAACTGCATCTTTACTCAAAATGACTCCAGGGTTTTCATTTCTCCAAAGTGGGAGCTTAGATGCTGAGAAAGATACCTGTTGCCTCTATGTGGGTGGCTTATGCCTCCTCATTCAGCAGGTCATAGTTCAATACACTTGCTCTGGCTTTTCAGCACAATTCAGGATCAGTAACACTTTATATGTGGGACTTCTTTAGCTCTGTTTTGAAGGTAGGCTCTTTCAGAAAACAGTTTTGTTTGCTCTGCTGGGCTGTGTGGCTGCTTTTTAAGGATTTCAGCTGATCTTCTTTATGGAATAATGCAGCTAATAAATGTAAAAGGAATGGTAGGTATATAGGTTTAGCATTAGTAGATGCTAAACACCCTTGGATACAATGTTGAGAGAAATGGGATATTCACACAGTTTCATAATATCCACTCAGCAAATTACAGAGGGGAAAATGTGCCTTCTAATGATGAGCTCTGGAGGGGATCACCTCCCCCAAGTGTAAATTAGCATCCCCGCTAGCAGAATGACCTGTGTTATATGCCAACTCTGATGCAGCGGGGTATCAGGAGCATGACTTGGGGCATTTTCTGGTAATAGTGTTTAACCTGCTTTTAATCATGAAGAAATATTGGATACAACCACAATGTGAGAGGTTCTGTGAGACAACTGTCCTGAATTTTTCGAAAGAATCAACATTAGGGAAATAGACAACAAAAGAAACCAAAAGGGTTTGGGCCAGGGGCACTGTTCCAGACTATAAGAGATGAAAGAGACATAACAAAATGCAATGCAAGGAACTTAACTGAATTCTGAATAGAAAATAGCAGCGTGAGAGGACATTATTGGGACAGTGGGGGAAATTTGCACAGACTACATGTTTAGTAGTGTTATGATAAGAGAGGAGAATGTCCTTACTTTTAGGAAATATCAGCTGCACTATGTAGGGGGTGAAGTGTCACCGTGACCTCAACTTACATTCTGATGTTTCTTTAAAATAGTATACATTTATTTGTATATATGGGTATGTGTACCTCTATACGTATACATATATGTAGAGGGCAAGGGGAGGGGAACAGGTGCAGCAAAATCTCATTAGTTGGTGAATCTAGGTGAATATTTACAGGTATTCTTTACATTATTTTAAAAATTTCTATGTAGTTTTAAAATTAAAAAAAATATGAGAGAAAAATAAGTCTCATTTGTTTTTCTGACACCTAGATAGTATGAGTGTGGGCTTCTAACACAGGTGACTTGTGGTTTTTCATGAGCAGGGAGATTTCTCCTCCTCCTTCCCAATCCCTAAGCCAAGACCATGGAGTTCTCTTGCTGTACCTCTTCTCAGGGTAGGCTTTTCCTGGAGTTCTGCCTCTTGTCAGACTCCCCACCTTGTGTGGGGCTGGGCTTTCTTTCCTAGCTCCCCACCCCCCTTTGTCTGTCAGAATCAGAGCTCAACATCAGATGCCTTCCCCCCAACCCACCCCTATCTTCCCGGGGAGCTTTCACAGTTATGGATTTTCCTTACAGTTTTGCTGGTTCAATAATACATTTTAAAATATATATTTAAAAAAGTATTTTGTCTATCTTTTTAAAAAGATGTTCTGCCATTATAGCCTTGTTCCAGGTATTTACTTCTCTAAACATACAATTCTATCTTAGGCTATGCCTAATGTATACTTTAAAGTATTGATGGCTTTCTATTTCTATGTTTCTATTTTACCTGAAGTTCTAAGAAGTCTTCATATGCTGTTTGCCCTTTCTGCTGGTTCTTTCTAAATGAGTTTTTAGTTTTGGATTGTGAGTTCATTTTCTGTGGGGACACATGTCAAAGTCTTCTGTGGTCTGGTCCAGGTTTTGGATGTGCCCCGGCCAGGTGGCCCAGGGGTATTACTAATTTGTGATTTATTTTTATATTAAGTTATTGTGTTAGGGGTTCCTGGGCCAAGTGGGTTGTAGAATTTGATCTGTAGCACAGACCCATGCTTACAAATTCTAAGGGGATACTTCTTTTTCATCCACAATGCAGAATGACATAGTTAAGTTTCCTCACTATCTCCTGGTACAGAGACCAGTTTTCTCCAGAGCACTTTGAAGAATCCAAGTTCACAATAGAGCTGTATTTCAGGCTCCCTGAGGTCTCCACTCCTGACCTCCATAGGCATTAACATGGAGATGGGCATTTTACCCACCACACCCAGAGCCAGTGCCCTGCTATGCCAAACTTTTTTTCCGGGTATGTTCAAATGTTCTTTTCTTCCTCCAAGCTCAGTTCCACATTTAAAAGAATGTTTGTTGTATGTAACAGAATTTCCTGGTGTTTGCATTGGCAGGATTTCCAAGTAATCTTGTCTATTTTGTTATTGGAACATGAAGTTCCTTAATTTATTATTTTTGGCTTAAGTAAAAAAAAACTATTATTCTGTAAACCAGCACATGTGAAACTTTTTAAGCTTCTTACATTGAGTCAAAAAATAAATAACATTTATTTAAAAACCAAATTTTTTGGTTTTTCATAAATTAAAAGATCACCTAAACATAGTAAGTTTGGTGAAAATTTCCATGACATAGGAAAACAGTGACACTTAAGCAAACTTTGCCCTGGAAATCTATTAACAAACTCATTTCAGCTTTCCAGTCTCAGGAAACATTCTATTCATCTAGGTGCCTCCAGTGTTGGTCTGATAACTGGCACAGGGTGGGAGCCTGATTTTTGTTACTGTCATTAAATGACTTTGAACAAGTTTATCCACCCACCAAATTGGAAGATGCATCTTTTTCTTCTTGAATCACTGCTTGCCTTCTGCCCAATCCTAACCCCAACTGTACATCATCATTGCTGCTACTTACAGACAAAGCTCCAGCCTGTGGATTTCCTTGTGGGAAAATGGAATTGGCATGTGGCCAGCTCTCCTGTACCCTGTGAAGATGGGAGTTGCATCCTGGTTCCCAGGGGGAATTTCAGGTCTTCTGGGTACAACCTCGATCACAGGTAAGCCAATGGAGGCATGTGTAAGACAGGACTGGCCCAGGACACTAGCCCATGGGTGCTGCCCACAGACCCCTAGTTCTGGTTCCCCATCCTGGTGGAATGTGAATGTGTCCCTTTGGGCCAGAGATGTATCTTGCTTCCCCATCCATCTATTTACTGCATTTCCATGCAACTTTGTTGGGCTCCAAGGTAAGGTGAAGGGCTCAGGAGCCCACACTGCCCTGTAGAGCAGCCTTTAGGAGGTTGCTGGGGGGAAGGTCCCTCCAGGACACTACCAGTGCACACTTGAGGGGAAGGATTCAGCTCTGGAAGGTGACAGGGCAGTTTGCTGACTTGATCATGCTGGCCACACAGGGATTATCTCTACCACCCACATTCTGGCATCTTGGGGTGGGTGTGGGAGGCTTTAGTAACAGGTCAACTGTGACAAAGGGTGAATATTTCAAGAACCTCTGAGCCTGGTTTATGCAAGATATATGTTATGCACTACCTCAGACTCCTCAGCCTCAGACTCCTGTTTCTCCTGTGGCTTTGGAATGTCACGACTACCTGGGCTGAGGCTCCAAGATGCCTGGGACCCTCTTCCTGCCTATTGCCCTCCCACTCCCCTGATAAAGAACTTTGCCAGAACTTCTGTGATTCCAGAAGGTCAGAGCTAAGTGTCTGTGGTTGTCTGTCCTGAATCTTTTCTGAAGATGGTAAGATAGGAGGAGGGAATCCTTTCTGCAGCCATAGAAAAGCAAAGAAGGCCTGTGGTCAGCCCTGCAGGCTGCTTACTTGGGTTCCTGAATCTGCTGTCACTTTGCCTTTTGATTTTTTCAAAACAACTTTCAGTGAATAGGCAGGGAAATCTGGCTCAGTGGTGATACCCTTGGCAGAGAACCCGGGATCCAACTGTCCTTGGTTGGTCTGACCCCTGTTTTAGGATGGCTGCAGTTATCTACAGACACAGGTTGGGAGCCTTACTCCATGGAGGTGGACCAGCAGTGTCTCCCACCTGCAGGGAGGGGGAGGACCTGGCAATAGTGTGCTCAGGGGGAATTTAACTTAACTCCGGGGAAAGAGTTATAGTTTTGTTTTCTTTTTCCCTTTAAATTTTTTATTGTTATGTTAATCATCATAGATTACATCATTAGTTTTGGATGTAGTGTTCCATGATTCATTGTTTGTGCAGAACACCCAGTGCTCCACGCAGAACGTGCCCTCTTTAATACCCATCACCAGGCTAACCCATCCCCCCACCCCCCTCCCCTCTAGAACCCTCAGTTTGTTTTTCAGAGTCCAGTGTCTCTCATGGTTCGTCTCCCCCTCCAGTTTACCCCCCTTCATTCTTCCCCTCCTGCTATCTTCTTCTTCTTCTTTTTTTAACATATAATGTATTATTTGTTTCAGAGGTACAGATCTGTGATTCAACAAGTCTTGCACAATTCACAGCGCTCACCATAGCACATACCCTCTCCAACGTCTATCACCCAGCCACCCCATCCCTCCCACCCCCACCACTCCAGCAACCCTCAGTTTGTTTCCTGAGATTAAGAATTCCTCATATCAGTGAGGTCATATGATATATGTCTTTCTCTGATTGACTTATTTCACTCAGCATAACACCCTCCAGTTCCACCCACGTCGTTGCAAATGGCGAGATCTCATTCCTTTTGATGGCTGCATGATATCCCATTGTGTATATATACCACATCTGGAAAGAGTTATAGTTTAATCCCATAAGGCCACCGTAGGACCAATGGACAGAGGCCTTGGGAAATTTGGGACTGGGGGCAGAAAAGCCTTTTTCTTCCCCCTTCAGATATTTGAAAAGCACATTTTTCCTTTATGAGCTGGAGAAAATGATCGACTTTTCTCCCATCTTTCTGACCTTGCTCTCTATTCTCTTAGAAGGAAAACTAATTTGATGATTCCATGTAAGGACTGTCAGGCAGTACTTACAAGATTCCAGGTGAGTGGTTTTATGAGATCTTGATCTTTGCTTTCTATTTGTTGACACTCCGTGACTGTCTTTTTTAGGCTTTTCCTCCACGATGTTTTGTGATTCTAAAGCCTCAGACGAGTGCCACAGATTAGGAGAGCTGGTGGAGCAGGACTTATCAACGACCCTGTCCCTTCGTTCCCTCGATATAGGAACTGCTTAGCAGGTCAAGGATCGGGCTACATTTAAGTGCTGACAATGGAAAAGAGGAGGGGAAGGAAATAACTGATGAAATCCCAGGTGATTATCTCCAGCAGATCTCACGGACAACACAGACAGACTTTTTTTTTTAAATTTTTTTACTGTTATGTTAATCACCATAGATTACATCATTAGTTTTGGATGTAGTGTTCCATGATTCATTGTTTGTGCAGAACACCCAGTGCTCCTTGCAGAAGGTGCCCTCTTTAATACCCATCACCAGGCTAACCCATCCCCCTACCCTCCTGCCCTCTAGAACCCTCAGTTTGTTTTTCAGAGTCCATCATCTCTCATGGTTCGTCTCCCCCACCGACTTACTCCCCTTCATTTTTCCCCTACTGCTATCTTCTTCTTTTTCTTTTTCTTTTTCTTAATATATATTGCATTATTTGTTTCAGAGGTACAGATCTGTGATTCAACAGAACACAGACAGACTTTTGGTTCCAAACTGGTTTTGCTTATTTTCTGGTGCTGGCAAACTATTTTGGAATTGCAAATTTGGAATTACAAGGAGTAATTATGTGGCATGTACAGTGTCACTTTCCCTCCTGTACCTGTAATGTACTTTGATAATTGATCGGGGAATTCTTTCCAATGAACCCAGATGTGTCCTCAGACTCCTCCTTTAACAATTTTCCAGAGAGTCACTTCCAGTTGATAATAGTTGGCTAAAAGAGGAAGCCTGTTTGCCATCCTGGTTTATAGAGTACATAATGCTCTGAAAGAATATAAGTCAAAGATTAAAAATGCAATGGATTTTCTTTGTTTAGAATTCCACTTATTGATAATTGCAAACTAAGCATTTTTATTTTGTTTTGCTTGTTTAATTGAACTACCTGGGTACCTCACATAATTCTACCATTGTAAAATGTCCTTGTGGACACACTGTGTGGTTATCTTGCACATTTTCTAAAATCTGTTTGCTTTTATTTATTTCACAAAGTGATAGCTACATTTGCTTATGATTTTATTCCACTCACAGTTTAAATTGCATTTTTTCCTGATTTTTTCTGATATTTTCAAAACTTACATGTTAATATTTGCCCACTTATGGAAATTATCATGCAAGGAAACTGTGAGCCCCCAAATGAATTAAATCAAACAAGCAGCTAACACTTATTAAAGGCTGATATATATTGGGCTCAATATCTAAGTGCTTTACTTGTATTACTATAATTTTAAAGTTCTGACCATAGTCATGTCAGAGAGATACTATCATTTTTTTCCCTATTTTACAGATAAGGAATCTAAGTCCGAGAAAGCTTAAATAACAGCCCCCCCCAGAGTCCTACCTTTGGTCAGGGATTAGCCCCAGTCAGCTGAGGTTTGAGCCTCTTAACCACCATACTGTTTTTCCCACAGTGGAAAGAGAGGTTGCAAGTGCAAAGGTGATTAGTGCAGTTCAATGCCAGGATGCTCACTTTGAAGAGACAGAATCAGAACTATTAGATCTATTGGATTCTCCATATTTTGAAGCAATGACTTTAGATTATGAAATTAAATTAGATTATGAAATTAAAGTAGTAGTAAATTAGATTAGATTATGAAATTAGAGCATAAACATTTGTTTAAGTCTAAATAAACCATACTTTAACATTCTATATGTTAAACTAATCATCTTATCTACCAAGTTATATATGCATATATATAAAAATGCGCATTACTACCTTTAAAAAACATTAAGCCAAGTGTTTACTGAAGACCCTTGCCCTGAACTACAAAACAAAATTCTATAATACTAAGTGTTTGATTTCGGTTTATGAGATCTGTTTGTTTCTGTTTGTTCTGGGAGGAAAAGAGTGAGATGGGAAAAACAGTATATTTCTCTTTACAAGGATTGGCAATTTCTGATAATTTTATGTTCTGGACTTTAAATGACATTGTTAATATTCAACAACTCTTTAGGCCCACACCCAGAATTTACATCACAGTTATTTGAATGATGTGTTTAATTGTGAATCACAAATAAAATTTTTAATAATTGCTTCTGTTACCCATGTAGAAATGCCTCAGGACTTCTAACTGAACTAACCAATGGGGAGGATGGCCGAATCCTAAGGGGGAAGTGACCAAAGAAGGCTGGACTGCTGTTCCCATCTGGACCATGATAATTTAAATGATAAGTGGGTTTGGGGTGCCTGGGTGGTTCAGTTGTTAAGCATCTGCCTTTGGCTCAGGTCATGATCCCAGGGTCCTGGGATCAAGCCCCGCATTGGGCTCCCTGCTCGGTGGGAAGCCTGCTTCTCCCTCTCCCACTCCCACTGCTTGTGTTCCCTCTCTCATTCTGTCTCTCTCTATCAAATAAATAAAATCTTTTAAAAAATGGTAAGTGGGTTTGTGGGTACCATGGAGAAAATAGAGAATATAGGCACTTAGACAGTTCAGAGCTAGATAACTATGGAATTTTTTGTTTGAACCCTATAGGCAGATAAGTGATCCTATTTGTCCATCCATTGTCCAACAGATGGGTACCGGGTACCTCCCATGTGCCAGGCACTTCCTGAGTGTTGGTGTGATGGGATGAAGCTTCATATCTGGTACAGGGAGACAGATAACAAAATGATAAACAAGATTGTAGCAGGTGCTATGCTATGAAGAAATAAGGAAAGCTAGTGTTGGAGAGCAATGGGGTCACGGCCAAGAAGATAAGAGTCATGGAAGTGCTCTTGGAGGTGGTGGAATTCAGGCCTGAAGGAGGCCAGGCTGGCAAACAGCCTTGATAAGACAATACCAGGTCGATAGAGCTGCAAGTCCTAAGACTCAGGGCTTAACTGATCCTGAGCCAATAGAAGGCCTGAGTCTCCAGGGCACTGACCAGGAGCAAGATCAGAAAGGTAGATGCAGATGGGGATCAGATAAAGTAGACTTTGGGACTGAAAGCAAGTGTGGGTTTTATTCTAAATTGAGAGGACCCCTTTGAAGAGTTTGAGTCCCTTGCTTAAAATCAGGACTGTGATTTATGCCAGACAGGGAACATGCTGGCAGCTGTTGGAAAATGGTTGGTAGAAGACAAGAATGCCAACAGCAAGAGCATCTCAGAACCTCTTCTGCAGTCAAATAATTTTATTCATTGGAATTTGTTCAGCCTTGGAGTAATGCTATAAAGGCATTCACTTTATAGACTCATTCTGGAGGACAAGTTTTGGCAACAGTTATGGGAACATGTACTCTGGCTAATGGTATTACAGACCTGTGGTGTTCATGGGGAAAGAACCAGTAACTGATCCCAGCTGCCTTACCTGTTGGCTCCTTTTCAGTGAATACACCTGTTGGGGTGTATTGACTTACCATTTGGACACCAGCAGGGATCATTAATTTCTCTCCACAATAGAAGTGTTTTCATAGAAATTCAGACTCACTACTCATTACTTGAGGGACTTCACATGATTTCGTCATTGGTGGAAGTAAGCTCAATCATATGCAACAACAGAAGGATTAAAGAATCCTGAGGAAATAGAAAGCATGTGGGAGCTTGTGAACACATATATGGGCTGTGGGGAGTGGGCTGCTGGGGCTGCCCACTGACTTCCCCCTTCTTTACAGGTGAAGAGGAAAAAGGCAGTTGAGAGAAACTCATCTCTCAGAAAGGGACAGGACTATAATTTTAGGTAAGTTTGTATTTGAAACCAAAATGAAACAAAACAAAAGACTTTTTAGGGGAGAAAAGTAAACTTTTCTTAGAGATGGAGTCCCATTCCCAGGAAACTCATTACCCCAATGTATATTTCCTTAATAGATTCTTCTGTAATTACTGAACTTCCTGAGATAGGGGCCCTGTCCTATCTGCATGTCTCTAATGCCCGTTGTTTGTCCTAGCTTGGAGGGGAGGTTTAGGACAGCGGATAAGAGAGGGAGTCAGTGGTGCTGGGTCCTGGAGATGTTCTAAGGTACCTTGGGATTTTAGAAGGGTTCATGTGCCTTCAAGGGGAGACTCATGATTGCCAAGTTGGGAGGCTGGGTAGGGCAAAAGAACCTGGATCTGGCTCCAGAGTTGAACTGGAACCAAATCAGCCTTGGCTGGTTGGATGCTCCTGATAATGACATGGAGACTTTCTCCAGCAATGCTATAGGTAGGACTCTCTCTCCTAACAAAGCAGGAAAAGCACAACGAGTCTCTCCTGGATGGCTTGGAAGTGCCTGGCCCTCAGCTTGTAACTGCTCTTGGCATGTGTACCTGGGCACTAGTCAGCTTGAAAGAGAGTCTAGAAATAAATTCAGACACATTTGCTAAGGTCAAGAGAAAATGGTACTTCCATTGCAATCTTTAGCAAGATACTCTTGCCTCTGCTTGGACCACCACCAACTTAGTTTCTGGCCAGGATCTTATTATGGGTTGAATTGTGTCTTCCCAAATTCACATGTTGAAATGCTAACCCTCATTACTTCAAAATGTATATTTGGAGATGAGGCCTTTAATTAGTTAAAATGAAGTCATTAGGGTGGACTGTAATCCAATCTGACTGGTGTCCTTATAAGGGAGTTGATTAGGGCAGAGAGCACACAGAGGGAAGAACATGTGAGGACATAACAAGATGGCGGCCATCTGCAAGCCAAGGAGAGAGGCCAGGGGCGAAAAGAAATCTGGTAACACCTTGATCGTGGATTTCTAACCTCTAGAACTGTGAGAAAATGAATTATGTTGTTTGAATCACTCAGTGTACAGTATTTTGTGTATTAGCCCTAGCAAACCACTATAGACATTCTTCAAGACTCAGCTGAAGCTTCCCTTTCTTTGGTAGTCTTCCTTGACCTGTTTACCCTGATCTAGGCTGTTTTGTGCCCCTCCCCTCAGATGACCGTATAGTTTATCACTTAGTGGAGTGAAAGGGGCTACTTTCAGCAATTTTCACAGGACAGTGGATTTAAACTTGCTATTTCCTGGGCAAACGGTGGATGTAGGGTCATCCCTTCCTCCTCTGTGCCTCCATGACACTTTGTGATGTCATCTGTGATGTCACTTAGCATGTTGTTAGTAAATCTCTTACTGAACATCTCTCCCCCACCAATAAGCTTCTCAAGAGCTGGGTTGTACCTTGCTGACTCTGTGTCCCAAGTCACTGGAA